TTTTTAAATCTTTTATGTATCTTTTCGTTTTTATTATTATATTTTAAGTACAACTTTAACATGTCTAGTCTTGGTAATTATATGTTCTCTCATAGTATAAGTCAATATATGTAATAGTAAAATTTTTAAGCTTTTTTAATCACATGTCAACGCATGTTTATTGTCGAACATGTCACCAAATAAGTGTCGGACATATGTTCAAAATTAAGATTTTATTATTTTAAATATGGATATGGATAAAAGAGTGTTGGACACGTGTTCGAAAATGTCTGAAGAGTGTGGGTGTCCGACACGGACACGTCACGTTCTTGAGAGTATCCAAGCTTCATATATTGAACTCATGCTGATGTGATTCAAGCAAGTGCTACTGTTTTGCTAATAATAGACTTTGTTTAACAATTTAGGCAATAGAAGTGGTTGATTTGGACCAGAAGATTAAAATGGTTGAAGAGCTTGATGATCATGTCATGCGCTGTGTACGTGATCAGAATGGGAACCATGTCATCCAAAAGTGTATCGAATGTGTTCCTGAAGACCATATTCAATTCATTGTCTCAATCTTTTTTGATCAAGTTGTGACTCTTTCTACCCATCCATATGGTTGCCGTGTGATACAGGTTGGGAAAGGGTACATCTAATTGCTAGTCTTCTCGTGATTTAGATTTGTATATTGAAGCAGATGAAAATTTTGTATTCTATGATGATGTCTTTCATTTGATAGAGAGTGCTGGAGCATTGTGTGGACCCAAAAACCCAGAGTAAAGTGATGGACGAGGTTCTAGGGGCCGTCAGTCTGTTGGCACAAGATCAATATGGCAATTATGTTGTTCAGGTTTATATCTTATCTAGAAAAAATTTATATTATGGACTTGTATGCCTGCTGTTGTCGATATTACATATATCTACCTATGTTGAAGTCATAGATGTTTTGATATTTTTAAAGCTATGTGTCTTTATTCAAATCTTGTATGGTATAGTGAAAGTCGTACTCAATTCGCTTAATGAACAGGTCTTGCTACTAGATGGCATTCAGGGTTTGGAATTTGTTTTAATCGTTTCTTTATAAACAGCATGTAAAACATTAAACAAATTCTTTGGGCAGTAGCATTGTTTAACTGTATCTTGGACTGTATCTCATGCACTCATGCGGGTCAGTCCATGTTCGAGAGCTCAGGTGGCATTTGTCCGAGCACCTTCATTTGAATGATGGAACCATTTTCCCTTGACAGAGCTCTAGCCAACTTGATTATATGGTTTTATGACTGTAAAGCTGGGTATTATATCTAATTTGGTATACTTTACGGTTACTATAAGGGGGTGTGTGCGTGTGAGCTTGCATCCATGCTTGAATGGTGAACTTAGAGATTGTTACACACACAGTCATCTTTCTTATTTTGATTTCACCAATTGAACCCACTCAATTTGCCTCCAGTTGTGGACTTGATAAATGTTTGTTCTACATGGGATGTTGTCATGGGTCTCACCTCCTTTTCTTCCTCTATGTTGAATCTTCTTTATTTGATATTGACAGCATGTACTGGAGCAAGGAAGACCACATGAGCGGTCAGCTATAATTCAGGAATTAGCGGGGAATATAGTTCAGATGAGTCAGCAGAAGTTTGCCTCCAATGTTGTGGAGAAGTGCTTAACTTTTGGTGATCCTACTGAACGTCAACTCCTGGTGAATGAGATGCTTGGCACAAATGATGAAAATGAGCCTCTTCAGGTTTGTCAAAGCTCCACATTCTTTCTGAATGCACGAAGCAAATATTATGGGAGATTGTTTCATGATTATATTTCTGTATTGTCCCTTTCTTTGCTATTCTTATGCATCATTATACATAGTGCAGCTTTAAAGTTTCTGAATTATTTTGCTTTTGAGTAGATCAGTAAAGCTGGAGTCACCATATGTGTGTGTGCGCATGCCCCATGGTTCCAATCCAAATCAGTTAATTGGTTGTGTTTGTTATCTAAAGCATTTTTTAAGTGTTCAAATGCCCGAGTTGTGAGGCATTTTGCCCCCACTTACAATTTTCATGGACATGGGTGGATCTACACTGGCCCACCCTCAGATGTTGTCGAAAAGCTATATATGTGTGTGTGTGTGTGAGAGAGAGAGAGAGAGAGAGAGAGAGTGTGTGTGTGTGTGTGTGTGAGTGTGTGTATATGACACATGTATTTCTATGAAATAATTCTCAACTATATTTGGTTATGCCCATCCTAACACTTTCGAATGGACCCATACTTAAATGACTATAACATTGTTATAAATACGCTTCAAACACATTCAAATTAGCTTTTGAAATGTCGGAGGTCATTTTGTACTTTTAAAAAATTACGAGATCATGTAGTTGTATAAAAATTTAAGATTTTTGAATAATAAAATAGAGGATCATTCTGTAAGTACATAAAGAACAGAGGCATTAAATAAAACACAAAATATTGAAACTTAAAAAAAACTCCATATAAAAGCGAAATGAAGGGAGTATTGAGGAAGTTAGAGAGAGATCGAGACAGAAAACGTGATTGGTAACTGTGGGAACTGTTGACTAGTTTTGTCTTTCATTTAGATAAGGTTCAATGAGCCATTGACAACACTATGCACGACTTTTTTGCCCATTTTGACGACATTTGACCCTTGTATCCATGTTTGTTTTCCTTGTGTAGCTTGTTTTCTTGTTTTAATAGTGTTTTTTGATAATACAAAATATGATTGATCCATAATTGCACGTCTAGTACTTTTTCTTGTATTAGGGCTTTTTGCGATTGACATTGATTTGCATATTAAGGCTTTTTGCCCAACCCACAATTGAACTCCAGTCTCCTGGCGTAAAAGTAAACACAAATGTATCATATTATTTTTATTGATTGGAAAATTTCGATTAAAGCATGTAGTTAAAAGTGCCCAACCCAGGGTATGACTCCTGGCTATGCCAATGTGCATACATATTGCTCGTAGATCTTTTGTTAAGGGCCAACAGGTGGGGACTTGGATTACTGGCTTATTGCGATATCTAATACTTTTGTCTGTCAAAGAAGCTTAATGCTATTAGACAAAATGTGATGACATCATAGGTATTCTGGATACCATAAAAATCTGTTTACAACCATGTTGGTGCTTGACACTTCAGCAAACAATCACTTTGCACCATTTTATGGAAGGGTATACGATTGAGATAATAAATGGAAAATTCTATCCCGAAGGAAAGAAAGGTTGTGGTTTTTTTTATTAAGAGGTTTTGAGCCTAAGGTGTTTGAAGTACAAAATTCAGGATGCCTTTTCAGGTCATGGATGAAGGCCTTACCATACAAGAAGGAAAGATGGTAAAACAATTATTGGAAATGAAATTATTCTTTTATTAAATTTTTTATTTTTGGTTTTTAAATTTCAAATATATTTACAGATGAGCGGCCCTGAATTGGTTCAATGGGGATTGTGAATTATGAAAATCCTGATTTATTCGAATATGAGAGCAGCAATGATGGAGTCTATGTATAGATGAGATTTGTTGTTTGAAAAATGTTGGAACCCTTATTCCATTCTGTTGAAAACGAAGAATAATGAATGTTGTCTGGCATAATTAGGGAAAGTGTTTATCTTTGAAACTTGAAAGCATTGTTCCTTGCCACCATAGGGTGTTCAGTGTCATCAAGCAGAGGTGTAGACAAGGTAGTTTCAAATTTTTCGAGAGAAGTTCTAGGTTACATTAATTGTGCTTTCTTATAGGTGTGGAGGCTCATCTTTTGTGCTTTCTGATTGATGTTTATTCCTTTAGAGCGATAACAATTAAACTGGGAAACTAGTATATGTAGGTATGTTAAGTGTAGCTTTGGATTGGGTGTCTATTTATGAAATGTATTGGAATATCTGAAATTAGTGTTATCATTAAAACCAAATAGAGTTGTCTATAGTGTTTAGGGTAGTAGAAGTTTTGTGTCTAACCATTTGGCTGATGATGCTTGTGTAGACAGTGCTTTGGTTGCTTATCTCATTGTTGGATATATGTGTAAACTAATTTCTACTTTTCTTATTGTTATCTATTGTTTTGTATCCAGGCAATGATGAAAGATCAATTTGCAAATTATGTTGTACAGAAAGTACTGGAAACTTGTAATGATCAGCAACGTGAACTGATCCTCTCCCGGATAAAGGTTCATTTGAATGCACTGAAGAAATACACATATGGAAAGCATATCGTTGCTCGTGTAGAAAAACTTGTTGCTGCTGGGGGTAGTTATTTCTTCCTTTGTGTTTTACCTATGCGGATATTCTTTTTTACCTTTTGCCATCACAAAAGGAAAAATTTATCCTATTGCAAATTTTTGGTGTCAAAGTTTTGTTCTGCCCTTCCCCACTGTCGTATTGCTTCTTTAGGAAGTAGTGCTTGTTACAAAAGCATTTTTTTGCAAGGTAAATGCGTTTTCGTTTGTGGCAGTTTGAATTTGACTTGTCAACAGCTAAGAATTAAGTAAATAACTCACGTTTTAAGAACTACGACATTGTTTTAAACCTTTTGTCTTTTTTTTCGTAGTTGTAGGAATGCCAATTTTAGAATTCCGAAATACCTTCAATTTCAAATCTGCCATTTGTAGAAGTATCTTGTGAATATGAAGCATTATTCTTCAACATATAACTAGCTCTCCAACCAGTCATTTCGATTGTGTGCAGAAAGGAGAATTGCTGCTCAGACACTGTAGGAAAGAAAGAAGTTGTACAGCTAATTGAGGCTAGTTTGAGTCCCGGCATCTAGTGTTGTTGCTCTACCTATCTCTAAGAAAGGTATGGCTTATTGCAAATAAAGTTGTTGCTTGTACACTGTACATTGTGTAGTTTACAGTTTATACATAGAATCTAGGCTTGGATGTTTGATATTCCTGATGCCCGTGTAGAGGAGGTATAATGATGATACAAGTTTTTTAAGGGTGTAAAAATGATGAAAGGGTGAGGTTGTTTATAATGTAACGCGAATGTACAACTTTTGCCATGCTGAGAGTTGATGTTTTAGTTGAGGCTGGAATTTTCATGAATGGTATTGACAATTTTCTGATGTGGCCAAGTATATACTTAGGTCTCTTGATCTGTCTATACCCTGGTAGGTTGTGTTGCTGTTTAATTCATGCATTTGGTATATTTTCTCAGTGGATTGTTCTATGAAAATCTTCCCTTGCTGGTCTTTATGTATGCACTAGTTTTCATATTTGGGTATAATGTGCTCAGCTCAATTAACCACAAGTAGATGAAAGCTTTGGACCAGGACTTTTTGATTATTTTTTTTTTGGGGTGGGGGGGTGGGTTCCATGGAGTTTTGTGGTTTTTTTTTCCGGGGGGGTGGGGTGTGTGCAACTGAAGGCCCCCCCTCCCCCCACTCGACGAATCTTATGGCATAGAAAAACACCAGGAAAATGTAATAGGAACCCAAATCAATGATCGATGCCTCTGTGAAACTTAAAGAGTGTCTACATATGTGGGTTAGAAATTGTGCACGAAATAACTAAACCCACTCGTTAGAGCTCTGTCGAGCATACGCCTCTTTACAGGAACCAGGCTTGCATTTCATATAGGACCAAACAGTTTCCCACAAACTCATGGACTATGAAAGGTCCAAACAACTCCTTCCAAAAGATTCCAAATGGTAAAGCTATGTAGGAGCCTGTGAGAGTAATGCACAAATGTGTTTGGAAGTCCAAGTTACCAAAAATGATCACAGCTTTCAAGGCTAAATTTTTATTTGGTTCAACGGTTATCATGTCTAAGTCAGTTTATGCGTATTTTGACTAATTTCTTCTTTAATTCAGTTAAAAGTAGTTCATTTACGTTGGAATTAAGGTATTTATAAAGCATAAATTCATTGTGGCTTGAATTTCAAGGCTAATGGATAAAAGCTAACAGTGGGTTCATTGAAGATTGAATATCATTTGCTCTCACCAAGGATAATAATAAGAATAATACTATTTGAACTTAAAAATTTGATTTAATTTGTTGATAAAATGATGTGACTTTATAAGGATTATTAGATCAACATCAACTTCTACTATTTGATTAGAGTTACATTGAGGATAGTTGCATTCTATTTTGCATCATCCTCATCTTCGTCAATCTTCTGACCAAAACCCTGTGACCAGCTCTAGCTCTAGCTCTAGTTCTCACCTTCCCTTTCTTCCCACTCTTCTTCTTTCCTGCCTCTTCTTTCTCAAATATCTCTCTCTTTCCCTTTTCTGCAAGAAATCTGTTACAGCTATGTAGATAACCTGGGTAATCCAATACTACCCCAAATTAGCAACAAGCCAAAACGATAACCCACATTCAAAAATTACAAATTCAAATCACCCACAACAAGAACACTTGAAAAATGCAAATAAAAAAGGGAAAAAAACAAAACTTTGAGAAGTTGGTTTACCCCAGCAGTAAGAATGTATAGGCCAACAAGTGCTATGAGCAGAAGAACTAATATGATGTAGGACGCACCTGTAAAGACGCAGAGAATCCAAGAAGGAGAAGGAGAAGATATGAAAAATAGAGAAACAAAGAGTCAAGTCATGGAGAAAATTCTGTATATTTCTCATTGAATCAATGTAATCGAAATACACACGTGTGCTTCATATTACAAGCCCTAACAACAATCTAACAAACTTACTCTCACATAACTTCACATGGCAGCTGTCAGCTAACCAACACAACTTGGCAAAACTAATAACAGACTAACTAACTAGCTAATGACAGTGTCTTTCTCTTTTATAATGCAGCTGCGTTTCGTGTGATCGTGGCCTGCATACTCTGCTCCGCAGCGGCATCCTTAGTAGCTGCAGCTGCATCTGATGTGGACGTAGCTGGCATGCTCTTTCATAGTCGCCACACAACCTCTGTTTAGGGCATCCATGAGCTACTTTGAATTAGATACAATGATCACAGCTCCGTAACTTTGCTCCGCTGCAAGCTGTCCTAACTATATATGCCTATGTCACAAAAGCAGAATTTTCAAGAACTGGTTGTGCTTCCCTAATACCCAGTAGCCTTCATGGTTACGCACTACAACTCATGGTTACCATAATTCACTCAACCTCTTACGATTTAAGATTTAGGCACATCGATCCTAAACGGGGTAAGTTCGTGATTCAACTCATCAAAATGAATAATCCCAAATTATAATACTAATTCTAAATTAATTCGTTTTAGAACATTTCATATAAATATAAAATAAATATTAATTGACTACATGTATATAGATTTATAATTATATATAAAATAAATGATAACTGACTTAGTATTTATGGATTTTTGTAATATATAATGTTGAATAGAAGTAAAAACGATTTATATAACAGTTTTAAAATGAATTGCGACCAAAAATATCATACCAGATAAGCCTATTCCTATTATATAGTGTACATAAGAAAGTATCGTATCATATATTTATACTCATACGACGTACCAAAACAATCCACAATCAGGATAACATTGCTACGACCTCGTATGCTCATGGTTAGTTTTTTCCTAAAAGTTTACTTTGCTTTCATTCCTATCAAAAAAAAAATTCCAACTAAACACTAAGATGAAACTAGTCTAAACAATCTCTGCAACCTCATGACGGTGAATTCACCACCAACCAGTTTAAGTCCTCCTACCCGAACGCACTGCTAATTCCAAAACTTCAATCACCACCACCATCCAAGGACTTCGAAGGGTCAAATACGGTTGCCCCCACTATAATTTTCAAAAAAATGGGATGTATTTTGAAAATTTTAAAGTTTTGTAGAATTAACCCCCACTGACAACTAAAAATGTTAGGGGTAATTTTGTATTTTACAAAATAATTAGGATGCCACTTGCATCAGCCAAACCAACCACATCAACCACCACAACCTCAAGCATAGAGATGAATCAGCCAAAATCAACCAAAAAAATTAGTGTGCGGGAGAAGAGAATCAATCATTTTTTGCTAGAATTAAGTTCCAATTTCGACAACTTTTTAGAATCAGGTCACGAGGGATTTGTTTTTTATGAATACTCTATTCCCTGCTTGGATGACATGTCTTTGACTGGACTGGTGAGAAAATTAGTCGAAGTGCGCGTAAGTTGATTTGGATACCCTTGATCGTTGAACCAAAAAAGAGTATATACAAATATTTTATCACTATATTTATATATAAAATTAATATATACGTAATCTGTAATCGACACATATGATATATATATGTATATATTAACGGATATATATAAATAAATAATATACATTTTAGCACACATAATAAATTTTTTATCTATTTTTCACTTAATTTTGAAGAGATTGATTATGGTAAGTTGGAAAAAAAGTTAATTCATCAATTTATTTATCCTTTCTATTTTCTTTTTTTACCAAACATAATATTTTATCTATCATTCCAATTTTTCATCGTTATAAAGGTTCATTTTATACAGTAGGTGGAGCCTCAAATCGTTAAATTTGAGCGGACTTCAATTAAACCTATCAACCTAACACTTCAACACCAACATTGCCTGAAAATATCCTATTGATTTTTTTTTTGTTAAAACTCAACTCAAGTTCTAAAGATCTCCACCTAATTATTGTTCAAGTTGGGTTTAGATCAGTCCAATGAAGTTGCACCGTTACATGTGAATAATTTATCGTATTTAAATGTCTAGAAAAGAATTTTTAAGGGTGGTCTAGTGATCAAGTCTATCCTCTTACAAACAAGAGATCTCAAATTCGATACTTTCACACCCCTAAGGGCTAGCCAACAAGGGAGACGTTTTTAAACTAGGTCGAATTACAATGGCTAGCTCAAAATTCGAAAGAGTAGTTGGTGATGAGCCATTTTCAAATAAATTCTTGTTATTATAATCACGACACGTACCCGTCGGATCACAAGTCCCTGTTCCCTCGATGTATTGTTCATAGGGATCAATGACACCCAATACGTTACGTACCGACACGTATCCCTCGGTCGGATATGGGTACATCGGTACCGAGATATACCCGTCCAGGATGGCGTTCTCTGCTCCTGCAAAGACTATTGATGTACAGGTCACTAGCCTAGGCTAGGTTAGGTTAGCCATCATGACCTCGTCTTACGCAATTAGTGTTAGAAGGCACAAGAAGGCAGAAGACACAACCAATGGGGAATGAGCGCGTGGCATATTGTGTTACATCAGAAACAAAAAGATCGGATGCCCTTGCTGACACACGACTTGGCAAAGCAAACATTTAATTACACCATTCCCTTGATGAGACAATATTTAATGCGGTAAGACTCGGAAGTGAAAAGTAATAAATGTCCCTAAGACTGGACATTTATTACATCCTTGCCGAGAGGAGTTCATTAAACAGTCGACAGGGCGATGACGCAGTCTTGGTTGTTCGGGATCTCAAACAGTTAAAAGAGAAGACATTCCTCTTAGGAATCAGTGCGCACGTTGCCCATATCTAATGATCACCTACTGACCACACTGACAGTAATCATGACTTTTTGAGGTATAAATACTCCTCACAAAAGGCAAGACGGTATGCAACAAAAACCCTTTTCTCAAACTTATACTCAGTGTTTTCTTCTTCCTCTCTCTCAAAAACTGACTCGATCGTCAGAGGGGATACGCCGGAAAACACTTCGGCGCCCTTCTAACTTGTCTTTCTCTGTTCCAGGAACCTCTCTTAGCCTTCCTGGACCGCTCCCTTGATCCACGAAAGTCACCCATTACCGTT